TGCTGTGAGCTGTGATGTCATTGCACTCTACCCAGGGGGATAGCTTGAGGCTCCGTCTCAAAAAAAAAAAAAAAGAAACATATAAGCCCAAAGGCATTTCTGTTGCAGGCACCGGATGCGTGGGGATCAAGTGCTATGGATACCTGGCTCAGATCATGCAGGAATTGCTACACAAGTATGTCTTCTGTTACATTTTCCTTTTCTTGGAAAAGTGATTTCTTCTAAAGCATCCCGACTCTCTCCATCTGGCCCTATTCTAACTTCAGGCTGTGGTGGAGAAACAACTATGGAAGGAGCGGGGAGTGAGGAGACATGAGCTGAGCCGGAAAGACTTCCTTAGGGAGGTGTGGCAGTGGAAGGAGGTGTGAGTGTGATGGGCACAACTGGAGGGGCCCAGATAGTGGGCTTGGGTCCTAGGTTCCCACCACTTTCTCCCTAACTTGTAATCCTCAGCTTTTCCTAGTATGATCCTAATTTTCTCAGAGATGAAAACTCTTGCCCTGTAGTGTTTGGTGGAGTTTCCAAGCTCTGTGTTTATGAGTGTTCATGTTATACTTACATTAAAATGTACACGTTTGTGTGTATGTATGTATATTATATATATGTATTTTTTTCTACTTACTCTATTTTCACTTACTTAGATTTCATCATTTTTGCTGCTCTGCTTGCCCATTTCCCCTCTTCCAATTCCCATGAAATTATTCTCATTCTTCTACATGGTCTATTATCATATGCTATCTTTTCTGTGAAACTTCCTTAGATTTCCCCAAATTTAACTGTCCTTCCTCTCTTCTTGATGCATCTTTTAATGTCTTACAAAGCCCCGTAATGCGGTTGTGCATCTATCTCCATTAATGTCTAGAGGCTAGATCAATGCCATTATTTACTTTTCATTTTCCTCCAGCAACTGGCATTGCTGGGGTCATTACTGGGCCTGGTATGTGGGAGGTGCTCAGGACATGTTTGCTGAAAATGACTTCTCGGCACCCAGGAAAGGTGGAGAGATCTGTGAGCAGCTACGAGCTCTGGGTGCCTCCCTGGACTGGGACCGAGATTGTTTTACCATGGATGCTGTGAGTGTTCTGTGCCTTGATCCCTGTGGGTGTTGGGGTGGGAAGGTGTGCTTGAGATCTGTGCTGGGCAGGGGGTTGAAGGGTGTGTTGGGACAGGGGAGGTGGGAATGCCTGGGTCCCTGACCACTGAGAAGTACCTGTTAGATGTGGACACTCAGGTCATTCTAGGGCTTCTCAGAGGCTGTGACGGAAGCTTTTGTGCGACTTTACAAGGCGGGGTTGTTATACCGGAATCGTCAGCTTGTCAACTGGTCATGTGCTTTAAAATCAGCTATTTCGGACATTGAGGTGAGGCACAGAAGAAGCAAGTTTGTGAGAGCTCTGGGGCAGGGTAGTCGAGTAGTTAAAAGCTCAGACTCTGGAGCCAGATTGCCTGGATTCAAATCTGAATCTTGCCTTTAACAGCTGTGTGACTTTTAGCAGGCAATTTAGCCCCTTTAAGCCTCAGCTCTTCAATCTTTATATTAGAGATAATGGAATGCCTGCATTATGGAGGTGTTGTAAAAGTTAAATGAGAATTCATGTGGATGTTCAGCACAAAACCTGGCCATGTCTTGAGTGCTCAATGAAACTTAGTAGAGCTGTGACCACCCAAGCTTTGGGTAAGGGGAGGGAGGTAGTTTCCAATCCTCCAAATGGCTTCCAGATGGATTGCAGGGAGGCTGGGCTGGAGGATGAGTGGCAGCGGGAAGCCTGGATGTGAGCTTTGCAGAAAGGTCACTCTGACACAGCTTCCTTGGCACCTCCAGGTGGAGAACCGGCCCTTGCCTGGCCGCACGGAACTTCGACTGCCTGGCTGCCCCACCCCTGTGTCTTTTGGCCTCCTTGTTTCTATTGCCTTCCCTGTGGATGGAGAGCCTGGTGAGTGTCATCCTCTGAAAGGTGGCCTTCTTACCTCAAGCCTATATTAGGCTGCTAGGAATCCATCAGTCTGTCTCCCATGTGTCCTTGGTGATGTTTGCATGGCTATGGCAGTTAGCCTGGATATTCCAGGGACATAAAAAAAAGCACATGTGATCACTGCCCTTCAAAAGCTTAGCATAATCCTAATCCAGGAAAAAGACAAAAGATCAGTTCTGAAGTGTGGCTTGTACAGTAAGTGTTCCAAAGAATTCAAAGAAGGGGAAGATCGATGAAGCTTCACAGGAAGCTTCCTGGAGGTGAGGCTGGTGCTAGCCATGAAGAATGCACAGCATTTGTGACTAGGACTCTGAGACTCTCCAGTGTCCTCTGGGCACCCAGCAAGGGCTATAGTTGGTTTTATTAATGCCACCCCCATTTCTCCCATGCAAGTTATGAAAGAATTGCTTAGCACCAGATACTCTCTCATGCCTCTGGTCATCAGCTTATGGGAAACCCTGGGCTCCTTCAAACACTCCTGATTTTCTCTAGATACTTCTGGAGGCCTGTTCCACCTTGATTGCCCCTGCCCCTTTCCCTTTCCAGTTCTACAGCCTTTAGCTATAGGAGTCAGTGGTGAGGGCTGTGACCAGCAAGAAGTGTTTGAATGTTTGTCTTCAGATGCAGAAGTCGTGGTAGGAACCACAAGGCCAGAGACGCTTCCTGGAGACATGGCTGTGGCCGTTCATCCTGATGACTCCCGATACACAGTAATAGGCAATGCGCTCCTGCACCCTGCCCCTTTTTCCTGCCTGTTAAAATGGCAGCTCCTTGTCTCCTGCTTCTACCTCCTTTTCCTAAGGTGACTTTTCTCAGCCCACCTCTTCTGTGGCTCTGCTCCTACTCCCTTTTCTCAGTTTTACACATTTTTCTCAGCTCAGAGGTTGACAACCTATGGCCTCAGCTTGTTGCTTACTTATGTGTGAGCCACACTTGTTCATTCGTATTATCTATGACTGCTGCTCTATATATTATCTGATTCTGCAGCAGTGGCAGAGTGGGGTAATTGTGAAGAGACTGAATTTGCCTCTAGGCTCAAAGCCTAAAATATTTATACTCTGGCCCCTTAGGAAAATGTGTGCTGACTTTGCCTCTTGGTTTCCACCCTCTTGTCCCTGGGGCTCTCTATCCCACCCATGTGCCTATCCCTTATCCCTCTCCCTTGTCTTCAGCATCTACATGGGCGACAGCTTCGTCACCCCTTGACAGGGCAGCTTCTGCCCCTCATCACAGACTCTGCTGTTCACCCACATGTGGGCACAGGTGAGGGAGGTTGGGGAGGGAGAGAAAATGGGGGCCCTGGGGGAGAGGGGAAGCAAGTGCTCATATAGGGTAGTCTGAACAGGTGGTGGAGGAAGCACAGAAAAGATGAGTGGGATGGGGAGGTGTGGCAGTAATGCTTTATCTGGAAAAGCAAACACCAAGTCAGGTTCAGTGCTCACTATAATTTTGCTCCCCTAGGGGCAGTGAAGGTGACTCCAGCTCATAGTCCTGCTGATGCTGAGATGGGGGCCAGACATGGCTTGAGTCCCTTGAATGTCATTGCAGAGGATGGGACCATGACTTCCCTCTGCGGGGACTGGTTGCAGGTGGTGCCAGCCTGTGTCACCCCACCTTTTGTCTTTCCTCTCTTCTCCCACTTTCTAATTTCTCTAGAGGCCTTTACTATTGCCACTTTTTCTCCAGGGTCTTCACCGATTTGTGGCTCGGGAAAAGATAATGTCTGCACTGAAGGAGCGGGGCCTGTTCCGGGGTCTCCAGAACCACCCCATGGTATTGCCCATCTGCAGGTAACATTATTTTAACTCCTGTACTAAAGGCCACCCCTGAAAGGGAGTGAATAGAGTTTAAGAGTGATAGTGGGATAGGATTTGCACTCTCCCACTAGAATACCAATTCTGTGTCAGTTTTATTCACTGCTGTATGCTCTGTACTGAGGGCCTGGCACAGAGTAGGATCTCACGTCCCTGGGAGAAGTCACAGGGCCTGTGGAGCAGTGGACTCACCCTATCTCCCTTTCAGCCGTTCCGGGGATGTGGTAGAATACCTACTGAAGAGCCAATGGTTTGTCCGCTGCCAGGAAATGGGGGACCAGGCTGCCAAGGTAAGGAAGGGCCAGGTCTGGGGCAGAGGGGAACTGGATAGAAGAAATGGCAGCCTGGAAGACCTCTTCTCCCAAGACCTCTCTAGCTGTAGTAATGGAGAGGATGTATAGGGCGGATACAAGGTGGCCCAAAGAGGGCTGGCTCATGGCCACACTCAAGCCCAGAATCTTCATTGGAGGCTTGAGAGGTCTTTTCTGAGTTTTAAAACTACCTTAGAGGCCACTTGTCCCATCGTCCCTGGAGGTGCATAGCTGCAGGAAGGGAAGCACTGTAAAGTCCCTGTTCCCTCCAGGCTGTGGAGTCAGGGGCCCTGGAGCTCAGCCCAGCCTTCCACCGAAAGAACTGGCAGCACTGGTTTTCCCACATTGGGTAAGGGTAAGGTGGAGGGGGGTCTCATGGAGATAGGGGAGGGTTTCACTGGTTATGCTGAGACATCAGTGATGTCCTCTTGGCAGGGACTGGTGTGTCTCTCGGCAGCTTTGGTGGGGCCATCAGATCCCAGCCTACCTGGTCATAGAGGAGCATGTGGAGGTGGGTAGGAGGGGGCTACCGGGAGGGCTGGGTGTATAGAGGGAGCCTCAGCCCAGGAGTCAAAGAGGACTCCTGGGGCTGTCCCAGTTCCTGCCTGTTAATGTGCTTCATGGTCTTAGTCATGTAACCCACTACATGACTACATGATCAAAGCTTGCTGAACTGGCATTTCTTCATCTCATTCCTGGAGGGGGCTGGCCTCTCTGAGACCACAGAGAATGCAAAAGCCAGTGGCATTTTATACCTGTCCACTGTTCTTCTTTACTCTTTTCCACCCCTTACTTCTTTTGTAGGGTGACAGGGAAGACTGTTGGGTAGTTGGGAGGTCAGAGGCTGAGGCCAGAGAGGTAGCAGCGGAATTGACAGGGAGACCAGGGGCGGAACTGGTCCTGGAGAGGGGTGAGTGCCTGAGCCTACGAGTGGAGGGCAGGGGAAGGACAGGAAGGGGAGGGATGGGCTGGGTGCCTGGACCTTTGAGAGGAGCAGACATTGGGTGGAGGTAGGGTCAGGATAGCTGGGAATGGAGCCAAAGGTGAGACCTCTAGCCTCTAGGGCTGAGGTTGGCCTAGAAAGGTGGGCAGCAAAGGTCTGAGGTTAGCTGAGGTTCCATCTCTTCCTCTTCCTTTCTGTTTTCTAGACCCTGATGTCCTGGACACATGGTTCTCTTCGGCCCTATTCCCCTTTTCTGCCCTGGGCTGGCCCCAAAAGGTGAGGCTGATTGATAGGATGAAGGTAAAGATGGGGCTGATGAAGAAGAGCTGGCTGGGACCCCACAGAGGCTTGAGAGGAGCCAGGGGCTGGGCCTCAGACCTTTTAGCACTCTTGTCTCTCCTAGACCCCAGACCTTGCTCGTTTCTACCCCCTGTCACTTTTGGAAACGGGCAGTGACCTCCTGCTGTTCTGGGTGGGCCGAATGGTTATGCTGGGGACCCAGCTTACGGGGCAGCTCCCCTTCAGCAAGGTAACAGACCACAGTGCTCTGCCCTTTTCTGTGACCCCCCAATTCTCCCCCAACCTTGTTCTCCTTTCTCCCAAGCCCTAATGTGGTGCTTTCCATGTTCCCAATGCCTTTTTCCTGATTCTTTTCCCACCCTAGCCCCTGAAGTATGCAGGCCAGAGGTCCCAAGGGCCCCTCCAAGGAAAGGCTCTCAAAGTCCCTTCTGCTGACCCCCTCCACACCCCCAGGTGCTGCTTCATCCCATGGTTCGGGATAGACAGGGCCGGAAGATGAGCAAGTCCCTAGGGAATGTGCTGGACCCACGAGACATCATCAGTGGGGTGGAGCTGCAGGTACGGTGGAGAACTGGCTGTGGGGCAGGGTCTGTGGGAGAGAGGAGAGGAGGGGAGGCTGAGGAGAGGTATGAGGTCAGTGGTGTGACCCCTCTAGAGGCAGGGCCTTCAACCCCCTATTCCTAGGTGCTGCAGGAAAAACTGAGAAGTGGGAACTTGGACCCCACAGAGTTGGCCATTGCAACTGCGGCACAGGTGAGTCGCTGGTGTCTGTCCCCACGGCTGTAGCTCTCAGCCACTGGTTTCATCTGCAACCCAGGCTCTGGTCTGCAGCCTCATGGGCTACCCTTCTTTCTCCGGTTGCAGGAAAAAGACTTTCCTCATGGGATTCCCGAGTGTGGGACAGATGCCCTGAGATTTGCACTCTGCTCCCATGGAGTCCTGGGTAAGGCCTGGTGAGAGGCGTTGGGTGAGCAGAGGGTCCTTGTTCAGGATCTGGACTGACTGCTGTTGTGCCCAGTGCAGATTCCCTCAATTCTCTCCCTCCAGGGGGCGACTTGCGTCTGTCTGCCTCTGAGGTCCAGAGCTACCGACATTTCTGCAACAAGATCTGGAACGCCCTGCGCTTTATCCTCAATGTCCTAGGGGAGAAGTTTGTGCCACAGCCTGCAGAGGAGGTGAGTGGGAGCAGAGGGGCCTTGGAGTGGGGTTTGGAAGGCATCTAAGGGGTGAAATTGACATCTGGAAGGAAAGGAAGCAGGGCAGTGGGAGGCCCAGCCATCCTAGTCCTTAGGCCTTGTCTGCCTGCAGCTGTCTCCCTCCTCCCCCATGGACGCCTGGATCCTGAGCCGCCTTGCCCTCGCTGCCCAGGAGTGTGAGCGGGGCTTCCTTGCCCGGGAGCTCTCACTGGTGACCCATGCCCTGTACCACTTCTGGCTCCACAACCTTTGTGATGTATACCTGGTAAGTGAGGCTGGGCAAGGCGTGGCATTCTCACTCTCCAGACCTGCTTCTGACTCCCTAGAAGTCAAGTTCCACAGCTAGAATTCCCAAGTGCTTTAGTTCCTATTGTCCTTTCAGGACAGAGAAGTAGAGGAGGCAGGGAAGTCTTAATTCTTCTCTTCTGGAGTCTGCAGCAGAGCCAGGCACTGTTGCCTGCCTGTCGCCTGGCGGGAGGGGAGGAGAGAGAGACTTCTAGAAAACAATCTGGGAGATAAGGGTTAGAAGTCTCCGGAGGAAGATGTTTCCAGTCCTGTAGTTGCTGGGTTTGGCCCGTAGGCAGCTGTATGCTGAGAGGCCTGGGAGGGAGCAAGCAGTGGTCTTTGGACCAGGGGTTCTCACACCAGGTCCCATGTCTGAAGCACATGGAGGGCTTGTTGACCACAGATTGCCTGGCCACCCCCAGAAGAGCTCCTACAGCAGGTGAAGGTGAAGGGGGATGGGGGGGGTGTCTTGAATGTTCATTTTTTGTCACAGGTAATGCTGACACTGGTGGCTCTAGCCCTGGCTCAACCTTACTAAAAACCTATGACCCCTTTTGATAAGTAAAAAACTCATTTTTCCCCCCTAAACTACGCATTTCCTTGGAAGTCTTACTCTCACCCACTGCTATGTGGGATTTCCCCTCCTGCACAGCTGTTCACATGCTCCAGAGCGTGTCCTGAGATGCCTGGTGGTATCAGAAGTGCTGAATGGTTCTGCCTGTCCCTCCTTCCCAGGACTTACAGCACTCCCCACTTGTGGGTGGGAACAGTGACTGTGGAGGCCATGGGCCTGTCTTCTGATCTGATGGCTTTCTCCCCAGGAGGCTGTAAAACCTGTACTGTGGCGCTCGCCCTGTCCCCCGGGACCCCCTCAGGTCCTGTTCTCCTGCGCTGATCTTGGCCTCCGTCTCCTTGCTCCACTGATGCCCTACCTGGCTGAAGAGCTCTGGCAGAGGCTGCCCCCAAGGCCTGGCTGCCCTAATGCCCCCAGTATATCAATTGCCCCCTACCCCAGTGCTCAAAACTTGGTGAGTCACAGGTCCGTGACATCTTGGAGTGGGACTGCTGGGGAAGGTTTGCTGCTGTGGGTCATTTGCAATAGTGATTTGTACTTTACTGTAGAGCCTTGTTCCTGCAGTGCTGCTGGGATTGGGGACAGTATTAATGAGTGGTCATGAGCAGGACAGTGTTGCCAAACTGATACTAGCCATGAGACTGTGCATCTGTAAAATGGGGACAGGACTAGTGCATGTCATTGTTGTGATAAGGATGAGATGAGTTAATACAGGGTGTCCCCAAAGTCTTGGTGCAGCTTTGATAGAAGTATAAATGCTACAAAAAATTATTTTAAAGTTCAGTGGTTTCTTCTATGCTTATTTGGCTTGTGAATTTTGAATAATATATTTAAAATTTTAATTTATTTTTGGTAGTTTGCTATCTTCAATCAGAACACTGAACATCTATAGCCTATTAGATGACTTCACTCTTTACCATGTTTGGGATGGTGGATTTTGTGTGCGGTGTTGAGGACAGACCCTGTTGCCTAAGGAGATGGGGTGCTTGGGTTGGGATAGAGTTAGGAGGGTTGGTGCTGAGTCTCCCCAAAGCCCCTGCCAACTCTGGGCCCCGCATTGCCAGGAGCACTGGCGCCAGCCGGAGCTGGAGCAGCGCTTCTCCCAAGTCCAGGAGGTTGTACAGGCACTGAGGGCTCTCCGAGCCTCGTACCAACTCACCAAGGCCCGACCCCAAGGTAGGCACATCCTGGAGTTCTGGGTCCCCGCAGGAAGATGGGACTGGTGGGGAAAAGGGAGGGTCTAGAGGGCAGATCCCCATTTGTAGGCACAGGATGGGAAAAAAGGCAGGGGCAGAGCCTTGACCCTGATGGTTTCCCTCACCTCCTCAGTGTTGCTGCAGAGCTCTGATCCTGGGGAGCAGGAACTCTTCAAGGCCTTCCTTGAGCCTCTGAGTACTTTGGGCCGCTGTGGAGCTGTGGACCTCTTACCTCCAAGTGCTGCAGCTCCCTCTGGGTGGGCCCAGGCTTCACTAAGTGAAACAGTTCAGGTCTATATGGAGCTGCAGGTGACCAGAGGGAATGGGAAGGGAGAAGAGGGAGGGCTTGGAAGAATTTTGGGAGGCAGGGAAGGGCTGGGCACTATAAAAGTCAGATGGGGCGTTAGAATGGAGAGGATGGGGGCCTTGGGCAGGTACAGATGTCTGAGCCTTCTCACTGTTCATATCCAGGGCCTGGTGGACCCTCAGACCCAATTACCTCTGCTAGCTGCCCGAAGGCACAAGTTGCAGAAGCAGCTTGATGGCCTCATATCCAGGACCCCATCTGAAGGGGAAGCAGAGACTCAGAGGCAACAAAGGGTGAGGCCCAGGGGGGGCCCCCAGGAATTCTGGCTCACTGAGAGACTATGAGCTGGGAGTGGTGAGCCTCATACCTGGATCCTCAACGTCTCTTCCCTCCCAGCTTTCTTCCCTCCAGTTGGAATTGTCAAAACTGGACAAGGCGGCCTCTCACCTCCGGCAGCTGATGGATGAGTCTCCAGCCCCAGGGAGCTCTGAGCTCTAATTCTCCATCCCTGGAAGTCTTCCTCAAGACATATCCTTGAGGACAAATGGATTTGTCAGCAAGGGGACATCAGAGACTACGAAGTCCACCTCCATTTTGTAAACGAGAAGACAGACGGGCTTGGTTGCAGTGACTTGTGTCCCTGAGATGCTATGTGCCCAGCCTCCCCCTGTGTAGTCCTACAAAGTTAGAGAATGAGATTCTGATAAACTTTAAAAATCCCAAACATGTTTGCCTGTAGTCCTTGTATGCCCCTTTCCCCTCGTGGTGACTTTCTTGCCTCTCATTTGTCCCCTGAGAGCTTGATCTGGGAAAAGAAAAGGGCTTCCTCATTGGAGGAGGAGCTTTCTAGTAAGTGGTCGGGGGAGGGCACAATGACCCCAAGTCTACCTGCTTCCTTACTGACAGTGTCCTGGCTTCTGTAGGCTCTTCCCCTCCACTTCTAACCAAATAGAAGCTTTGCTGCTCCTTGCCTTATCCCCAGAGGTTCTGAGAGAAGCAGGATTTCCTCCAGGCCTGAGGGGTTGGAGGGTGCTGGGGATGGCATGTTCCAGAGATCATAGCACCAGGGATACTGCCAGCCCTTGACTGAATTAAACACTCAAAACCACCTTATCCTCCCAAACACCATCTCATCTCAGTGGAATTCAGGCCTTTCCATGCCCAAGGTACATTCTGTTCAACAGTTCCAAGTAGTAATGTGAGACAGAGGTCTTGCTGTGTTGCCTAGGTTGGTCTTGAACTTCTGGCCTGAGAAGTGTCCTCCCTCCTGGGCCTCCCAAAGTGCTAGGGTTATAGTGAGCTTCCATACCTGGCCTCTCCCACTTTCTGTGCTCCTCTCATCTTCAGGAATGCTCCATGCTGAGCACCTTCTCTTCCTTCCTCCAAAGGAGTCAGTTTCCAGTTTCATAGGATGATGATGGAGGGGTGGTATGGTGGGCACAGAGCAATCTTTCCATTCCCCCCAGCTGCCAAGTCTGGGTTGTAAGTTCGTGCATTGTGAGAGCTGATAAGTCAAGATAATCTTGAGGGAAGACTTAGGTGAGTGCCTGCCTCAAAAAAATCAGGATAAGGTGGACCCTGGTCCCCCAGGGGACTAGGACTTCTGTATTGGGAGTCAGTTCACCTACTATGTGACAGGCTGTGATGTGTCCCTAGGTAGCTTACCTGTGTGACCCTCTCAACAATCCAATGGTTCAGGTGCCATTATTGTCCCCATTTTGCAGGTAAAAAAGCCAAGGCTCTGAGAGGATAAGAAACATGCCCAAGACTCAACTGTCAGCCTATGTGATCTCATGTTCATGTGGCCAGCCAGCATGAGCTCAGCAACTGGCTTCTCTTCTCCATCACTTGTGCCCAGCCAGCCATCCTGATCTCACACCTGAGCAGCCTCCCCCCACCTCCAGCCCTGACTGGCCTGTGTGGCTCCCTGGTCAAGAGGACCATGTCCTAGAGATGTTCTGTCCATATCCCTGTCTCAGGTTCTAGATCCCCTATCCCAAAGCTTAAGCAAAGGGGGATTAAATTGAAATCTTGCTTCAACCAAGACATCTGGGGCCTGACCTCTCCACAGCTATTGGGGGTCAGACAAGTGACTTGCCCTCTCTACACTTCAATTTCCTCATCTGTAAAATGAGACATGATACCTGTTATGCTGCATCCAAGATTGCTGCAAGTGTTGCGGTGGGAAAGCAGGGATTCATCAATGTTGCCTCCCTTTATTCCCAGGTATTCTGAAGATCTCAATTTGAAGTATGTGTCTCTCTGTGTGTGTGTGTGTGTGTGTGTGTGTAGGGTATATCCCCAAACAAATGCCCAGATTCCTGCTATGCCTTTGACACTGGTGTTGAGGGACAGGGTGTCCATCCTGGAACTCTTCTAGAGGCTCAGCAGGTTAAAATCAGAGACCTGGGCATCCAAATCCCTTTCCCTGCTGGCCCTGGGCTCATAAACCCACAGCATCAAGTCCTTGAATTCTCCATATGGTATTTATTGTCACTCAGCAGGGTGAGGGCCTCTTGGAAGACAGGGTCAAGGCATGCCAAATGCCCCAGCCAGGAGAGACACAAGCTTTAATGGCTCAGGCATAGCAGATGCTGTGGTGTGGGGATCCTGCATGGTGGAGGGTGATGTTGGTCCTTGAAGGCAGATGGAGGAGGAGGCAGAGCTGGGGAACAAAGGGTCAGAGAATGCGGTGTAAGAGAGCGCCTCACCTCCACCCCTGGCCAGCCAGGTGCCAGCAGAGAGGCCCCAACTAACTCAGAAACACACAGCCCCATCCACTCACCTCCCAAAGAACTACCTTTTTGAGCAATTCCAGGAAACTGGAATCATATGAAAAGTTTGCCAGAGAAGACTTCTTTAGCTTCAGTTGCAAAGTCATACCTGGCCCTGGGAATCCAAAAGTATGGCTTAGGACCTGGCAGTGAGGGCCAGTTCCCTCTGAGATGCAGGTACCCTCCTGCCCTCACCCTCAGTTTCTCTTCCCTGACAGTGCCCCTCCAGAACCTCTCAGAAGTTCAGGACTAGGTGCCTCTCTCTTTCAGAGGCCACTCCCCATCTCTTGCCATGAGGACCCAGGTGCCCAGTCCTCCAGCCCCCACCTGTTCCACACGAGTTGCCAAGGAGAGTCAGGAGGAGGATGAGACACAGCCTGGACCGCATTGTGGCCACCTAACTTCTGAGATGGAAGATACCAAAGTTCCTGTGGCTTCTCCGGCTAGGTTTCCTTTAGGCACTCCACTCGGCCCTTAGCATGGGCTTCTGGGGGAAATGGGAGTGGGGATCTGGGCAACTGGATTTTCCAGTTCTCCCAGTAAGGCCCTTAAGGCCCAGGAGAGGGTCATTCACTAGGCTCTGGGGGAAAATAGAGGGTGGCCCCTCTCTTCAACTCTGTGCTCCACCCTTCCCCATGTCTCTAGACTTCAGGGGGTGGGGACTGGCCCTACAGAGAGGGAGACTGAGAGTGAAGTGGGGACCAGGGAGGTGTTCCTCCTGCAGGTGTCTGCGCTCCACCCAAGCCTAGGCCTCCCATGGCTCTTTAGGGATTAATTATTAACTACAGTTAATTTTCTCCACTCTTGCCACCAAAGGGCTTAGGAATGTGGGCTCAAAAGGGAGGGGTGGATTAGGCCAATTTTCTTTCCAAACCCAGGTATCCTGCTTCCCCAGCCTCAGTGGCTTTCTAGGTGAGGAATCTGGGTAACAGGGAACTTCCGCCTCTAAATGTTTTGTTTTAGTCACTCTAACACATCCTAGGTGCTTGGGTGGAGACATGAGTCTCTTCAAATATCCTCTCATGCCTTTTTTTTTTTTTTTGGAGACAGTCTTATTGCTTCTCAGCCTTTTGGCTAAGATCAAGTGTGTTAACAGAGTCCCACTCTGTTGCCCTGGGTAGAGTGTTGTGACATCATAGCTCACAGCAACCTCAAACTCTTGGGTTCAAGCAATCCTCTTACTTCAGCCTCCTGAGCAGCTAGAATATAGGTGCCTGCCACAACACTGGCTAGTTTTTCTATTTTTTATTAGAGACAGGGTCTTGCTGTTGCTCATGCTGGTCTTGAACTCCTGAGCTCAAGCAATTCACTCACCTTGGCCTCCCAGAGTGCTAGGATTATAGGTGTGAGCCACCGCGCCTGGCCTCCTCCCATCCCCAGGGATGTCCACCTGCTCCCACCCAAGACCCTTGTGCACAGGCACTCAGAAAGGCAAGCACAAGGATGGACCTGTAGAAGGAATTACTGCCCTTCTTTAAAAACCGTGAGAGTAAGCAGGGAGGGTGAGTGACTTGGGAAGGTCAGTGGCAGAGACACTAGAAGCCAACCCTCATTGTGCCAGACACACAAGGACAAGCTCAGGGGACTGACACATGAGCCACATAAATCTGCTTGAACATGAGCACATAGGGCACAGGCCTGCTGCATCCACTTTCATTCTGCAAGGCTGGTGGGACTGAGCACAGAGGGATAGAGGCAGAAAGAGCACTGGGCAGTCAGAGAAGCCATAAACAAGACCAGGGAAATGGAGTGACACAGACACAGCCACACCATAAACGTAAAGGGAGGCATCTGGGGACTCCTGGACTTGCACTGGAGAGCAAGTGACTACATGGTAAACTGAGGACTAGAAGAGCAGTGAATGTAGGGAAGTGAGCCAGGGCCAAAGGGGAGAAGGCAGAGAGATCCTTCTCAGAGGAAGTGAGGGGGCTCCCTTCTCTTTCCTAGCTGGTCTTCCCACCTTTTTATAGGCTCATCACAAAGTTATTTCTTTCAATGCTCATATGACCCTTTGAAGTAGGTACTAGAGTACCACTGGTTTGTTAAGTGAGAAGACTAAGACTTAGGTCTTGGGACTTGCTGGACAAAGAGAATGCACAGCCCAGCTTGATTCTGGTGCAGATTTTCAGCCCAGTGCTGATCAGGGTGGTCTGGCTCCAGAGCTGGGCTCTGACTTTTCACATTGTGCTATCTGTTCTCCTTTTCCACTCCCCTGCAAAAGCAATGCAGCTGTTGTCCACTCAAGAGATGGCTTTGGTGTTTGTCCTCTCAACTTGCCCTGAAGGCTCCTGAGGGTTATACCTAGACAGCCCTAGGCCCCAATGCACTCCCACAACCCTAACTCCCAAGACCTCCTCCCCAAGGGGCCCATATATCCTGACCCCCAGTGGTTATACTTCTAGGAGCAAGAGGAGGACCTTGGAATAGAAGCTTGGGTCTCCTTGTTTCAAGGAGGGTCTGGGATGGGCTGTGAACCAACTTACACCAAGGGGACAGGTCCCTAGTTTGGGAAGAGCCCAAGCGCCAGGTGGGGAGTGATCAGGCGCTTCCTGGGATCAGCTGGGACAGGTTAATCCCCTGGGACAGCTTGGTGGCCTCTCCCTGGATATGGAGATTCTGGTGTTGATGGAGGCCCTGGCACACCTGGCTCTTGTAATAGTCCCCAGAGCCTTTAAAGAGCCTGGGAGATGGGCCAGGCCAAGACCATCAACTGGCACCATGGATGCTGCGCTGCTGCTGCTGCTTCTAGGGCTACAGGCCTTGGTCAGATGTGGTGAGCATCTGGTACTGGGCATGGGTTCGTAGGGGAGGATGTGGACTTGGGACCCAGGGAGATGGCCAACTCTTCTAACCCCATCCTACTGTTTCTCTTCTTCTTCCAACAGCTCAGCTGACCCCTGCCATAATATCTGGAAGTCTCCCTGCTGTCTCTGGAGATCTCCCCACTGTCTCTGGAGGTCTCCCCTTGGTCTCTGCAGGTCTCCCCACTGTCTCTGGAGGTCTCCCTGCTGTCTCTGGAGGTTTCCCTGCTGTCTCTGGAGATCTCTCCTCTGTCTCTGTGGGTCTCCCCTCTGTCTCTGTGGGTCTCCCTTCTATCTCTGCGGGTCTCCCTGCTGTCTCTGGAGGTCTCCCTGCTGTCTCTGTGGGTCTCCCTTCTGTCTCTGTAGGTCTCCCTTCTGTCTCTGAAGGAACCCCCACTGTCTCTGCAGGTCTCCCTGCTATTTCTGGAGGTCTCCCCACTGTCTCTGGAAGTCTTCCCACTGTCTCTGGAGGAACTCTCACTATCTCTGCAGGTCTCCCCGCTGTCTCTGGAAGTCTCCCCGCTGTCTCTGTAGGTCTCCCTGCTATCTCTGGAAGTCTTCCCACTGTCTCTGCAGGTCTCCCTGCGGTCTCTGGAAGTCTCCCCACTGTCTCTGTAGGTCTCCCCGCTGTCTCTGGAAGTCTCCCCACTGTCTCTGCAGGTCTCCCCACTGTCTCTGGAATTCTTCCCACTGTCTCTGCAGGTCTCCCTGCTGTCTCTGGAAGTCTTCCCACTGTCTCTGGAGGAACCCCCACTGTCTCTGCAGGTGTCTCTACTGTCTCTGAGAGTTTCTCAACAGTTTCTTCAACTTTGGGGGGTTTTCCCAGTAGTCCTCAGACTTCGGCTCCGACTGTTTCTGGGAGCATTTCAGGATCAGTCTCCACACCATCAGGTGATATTGCTGTTGCTCAGCCCATCTTCAGAGAGCCCTTTAGCTTGGCCTGTACTGTAGCTGTGGGGTGGGGCTTCCTGTGCTCTCACAGTAAGTCTGGTGTGGTTTCCTAGGAGCCTCACTGGATGCAGCTCCCTAGTCTTTGTGACTAGCCTCTCTTTCTGGTTTTCAATTTAGTAACTTTTTCTCTGGTGATTAGTGCCTTTTATATCTTGCCTAGGACATTTTTTGCCTAGTTTGAGATCATGAAAATATTCTGTGCATTCCTCCAGAAACTTTATTATTTTAGCTTTCAAATTTAAGCCTGTGATCTATTTCAGCTTAATCTCTGTGTGTAGAGTAAGGTAGAGGTCAAGGTTCACACTTTTGCCCCCTTACAAATATCCAGTTATCCCAGAGCCATTTATTTCAGACCCTCCCCTGTCCCTACCACTGAATCCTTAGAGCACATTTCCTGAAAGATGGAATCTGTGTGGGTCTACCTATCAGTTCTCACTCCACTGTCACAGTGCTTAAGGATGGCAGCTCAGTAGCAAGTCTTAGGTGACCCACTTTTTTTTGTTTAAAGATTATCTTGGCTAGTCTTAGAGCTTTTATTTTCATAGAATCAGTTCATCAGTTTCTGCCCACAACTTGCCAGGGTCTTGATTGTGAGTGTGTTGGATGTGGCTTCTGCTTGGCTCTCACTCAGATCTCTTCTAGCCAGTTCTTCCTTCTGCCCTCCTAGGATCTGCCTCCCCCATGGCTCCTGGAACTGCTCCAACTACTCCGGGGACTTCTGCATCAAGTATGGCTGTCACAGGAGGTTCTACTGCCACAACGGCTGGAGCAGCCACCACATCCGCTGGGCTTAGTCTCTTGACCAGTAAGGTGCTCTCATTGGCATTGGGTCACTTACAGACAAAGGTTGATTGGGCCTATGCTCTCTTATTCCCTTGCAGCCACCTCTGGCCCCTGAGGAGGAGTTTAGGGACAGTCATCAGTGCCCTACTTTCAACTGCATTTTGAGCCTGTCTGAAGATGTCTCTTAAACCTCTTAAAGGGGTTTTGTTGCCCTCTCGCATCTCTGGTCAGACCAGTGGCCAGATATCTGTTCCCTGACTGTTTTCTCAAAACGTTATCATCTTTCTTTCTCATGGCCCAATCTGTCCGCCTAGTGCAGGAAACATCCCCTCCAGAGAGTCTGCTCTCCTCCCTCCCTCTGTCTTTCTCCTCTCCTCCCCTTTGTTCTTAGAAGAGGGATCTTGGGGAGCCCCCCACCAGAAAGTCTGAGGGCAGGAAATGAGTGGTGGGAAGACAGGACAACAGGCTCTGGTTTCTCTAAGGGCCAGAATCAGGGTGGGGAAGAGGGAGGATGGGGCTCCAAGGAAGCAGAGGACCCCCTTGGGACCCTCACAGTCTAGAGGCGTCATAGATCCAGGGACATGAACAACAGAGTCTGAGACCTGGAGGGGGTTCAGAAAGGAGAGGTGTTTATGTCCATGAGGAGTTTAGGGACCAACAGACATATCCACAGGTGTTGGGGAAGAGGTGACTGGGGCTTAGATTGAACCCCTTTAAAACATCCTTCATTGAGATTCTGCTTCCAAGATGACAGGAGAGAACACAGATGATACAGAGATGTGTTCTCAGAGTCACACAGACATCAGAGTCACAGAGAGAAAGACAGAAAGTCATGGAGGGCAGTCGGGGTGTCGGAGGATGGAAGTGCCACCTACCTCAGTCACTGTCTCTCTCTTTGTGCCTCAGGTCGGGAGCCTCAGAAGGATTCTGTCCCAGACTGGGCCATTGTTTTGATCACTATCACTCTAGTGGCAGCAATTGTCAGCCTAATGTATGGTATCAAGAAGGTGAGTGAAGCTGTGGTCCAGATGTTTGGGTCCCCAAGGCTAGTGGGGATGGGACCTGGCATTCAGGGACTCCAAGGAGCATAGGCTTCATCTTGCTTGCTTGGGGACGGGGTGAGGGGGAGGGCAGGAATCCTGATCCTGAGAGGCATCACTGGCCTGGCAGGAATGGGGAGGTATGGCCATCGAAAGAGGTTGGGGAGTGCTGGGGGCTGAGCAGCCCACAAAGACACTAGACACAGTTCCACACAATGAAGAGCCCACTCTGTGCAGCCACACTAATAGCAGGGTTCTGGACCTGGCTCTGCCACTATAGCTACATGACCTTTGTGCAAGTTACCTAACCCCTCTGTTATCCAGATTCTCCATAAACACTAAGTAATATTTAAACAGCACATACTATGTGCTAGGTGATGGACATCTTTTAGTTCACATTAACCTAGTGATACTGGTCATATAATTATCCTTCATTTTACAGATAAGGTAATTAAGTTCTGGATAAAATGAGGACACTGGCATCCATCTCAAAGGGTGGTTGAGAGGAGCAAATGAGTTTACACCTGTGAAGTGCTTAGAGGTGCGAGGCACATAGTAAGTGCCCACTACACAGACTCATTCATTGTCATGACTAGGAGTTGTGCTCAAAAAGAAACACCCAGCACCTGGGTTGTTGGGGGAGGCAGCTGTCCCTGGGAAGGGCTGGGGCTGGCCAGCAGGTTCCGGGATCCCTCAGTTAACCCACCCTGACATCCCTCATCCCTTGCAGGCCTGCCAGTTCCGGAAGGAGATGAGTCTGGGGTGTAGCTGTGGCTCTGTGACCCCCTACAGCTGCCACCATGAGGCTACCAGCCAGCACTATTCTGTCAAATGAAAGGCGGCTCAGGGTGGCTGAAGGCACCTCCTCTTTGGCTTTCCTTCTTCCCATCCCAAGTAGACTCATTCCAGCCCACCTGCCCCATTCACCCTGGCTGGGACCATTTCCTACAGGTGGATTCCTGGTATCACTGGCCTCCCAGGTCTCCTCTACCAATAGTGGAAGGGGAAGTCCAATTCTGAACCTGAGAAGGAGCTCCCCTCACACCTCCCTCCTTAGGAAGCCCCCTGAGGACAGGAACCCTCCTCTGTGATCCTTCCTCATACCACTCTGAGAGGGTAGTAGGCACAGTTCTTGCTAAATAAACCAGCACTTCCTCCATTTGTCTCCCAGTCATCATGTATCTGCCCAAGTGCACTGGTTTTGTGACTGTGCAGGCACCAAAGGGCCAAGTTTGGTCCACTTACCAGGTGTGTGACTTGGACAGGTCTTCTCCCTCATCTGAGGCTTGTTTATCCACATTACTAAATGAAGAAGATACTGCCAACCTCATAAGTTATAATATAACCCACAGGCAAGGTGCTTAGCACATGCTGCAGTGCAGAGAAATGCCCAAACATCAGTAGTTAGCAGGGTTGTCTCTTAACCTCTAGCTCAGACAAAATAAGATCAGTTTACTGTAAGAGACCATGTTGGGCCTCTACCTACCCCAAAGTTCCTCCTCCCCAGAAGCCTGAGTCCTCAGGGTGGAGTTAGGGAAGAGAAGTAAAGGGAATGTTTATCCACAAATACTGATTAATGCTTATTCCAAAGCAGAGATTCTCAACTTTAGCACTACTGACATACTGGGCTGGATAGTTCTTCATTGTGGAAATTGTCTTGCACATTGTAGAATGTTTATTTAGCAGGGTCTCTGGCCTCTACCCTGTACATACCAGTAGAACCTCTCAAGTTATGACAAGAATGTCTCCAGTGTCCCTGGAGCAAAATTACTCCTCCCTATAGAGAACCACTGTCCTAGAGGTCTGGGTCCCTGAGGAAAGGGTAGGGCAGGGGATTAGTGGAAAGGGGATTGTCAGTCACCACTGAGTCTAGATGGAGTTGCAGGGGAAGGCTGTCTCTGCCTCAGTTTCCCCATTCTGCAGGATGCATTGGCTGGGAAGTAGCCTGCCCGGGTCTGAGTAGTCAGTCTTTGGCCTGACTCCATGGAGCTTCATTAATCTCCCATTAGTCACATTAATGAGCAGTTGACCTCCTCTCCCCTTCCCACCTATCCCAGCCCTGCCTAGGAGTTAGGGAGGAGTCACTCCAAGTAATGAGAGGAACCAATGTGTCCAGTTCTCTACTCCCCTCAAGGGCCCCATTGCCTGGTGTTCTGGCCTCCTGTCTTCAGGTCCTGGCCCCTCCACTCACTCTGATGCCCGCTTCCCTTGGAAAGGCATCAGCCAGCCCTGGCTTCCCCTCCATCCAGGAGAGTAAATGTTTACTGTTTGCCTACTTTGTGCCAGGCACTGTCCCAGTGGCTGACAACACAGCAGTGTTTGAGAAAAAGACCCTGCCCACAGGGTGCTCACTTCCTGTTGGGATCCTGTTGGGGGAGATGCATAGTGAGCAAACAAGTGAATGCTACAGAGGGGTGATGAGTCCTCTCTCCTAGAGAACTAGGAAGTCTGTCCTCCACTTCTCTGCCCCCACGCACTGTGCTGGGAAGAAAAGTGACGGTCTCTGAGCTAATGCTTGCTCTAGGCAGGGAATGAGGAGGAAGGCAGAGGGCAGCTCCCAGGAGATGCTTGTGTTTCTGTATAGGTGCTGATGGGGCTCTGAGGCAGAGAGACATTCACTGGGCTGAGGTGGGAGGGGAGGGGGTAAAGCAAAAGGAGAAGCCCCTGTACCCTAGCATCTGCCAAAGACCTCGGCCTCAGTCTCTCTGGGTGGCCTGACCATCTGTGTCACTGGGGTCCTGTCTGTCTTGTCTCTGTCACTGCCTCCACTGCCCCTACTGTTCCCCATCTTGTTGTGTCACCTCTGGACATCACAGAGCACCTGTCCCTGCAGCAGCAGGTCATGTGAGGCTTTCCCTTCTTTGCTCTTTCACCTGCTCCTCATGGACAGCTCCACCCAGGGTGGAAAGAGTGGCCATGTGTGAGTAAGGGGTGTGGAGAGGCTGGGCTGACAGAGAGAGGCAGGACGGTGTGCAAGAAGCTGGAGATGGATCAGAATGAGACCTCCTCCCAGACCTCCCACCCACCTGCCCCTAGCCCAAGCTCAGTCCTTTTAGAAACTAGCCATCCACTCCCCAGAGCACTGGAGGCCACCCCTACCCCAGCCTCTTCCTTCTGCTGGGGCTGGGTCAGGACTCTGCCCCATCCTGGTTCCTTTTCCCTGCCCCCAGATCCTACCCCTTCGGCAGGCACCCAGGTACCCCATGACGCAGAGGCAGCTGCGGTCTCCCGTTATCAGCGCACCTCTGTGAGACAGGGTGGATACATTTGTTTAAGGTTTAGTCTTGAGGAGCCCCAGCCCCCATGACGTCAAGCCTGGCTCCATATAAGGTGAGGGGTCCCCAGCCCACAGCCCCTAAGCAGCTGCCCAGCTCCACGACATGAAGCTGGCCCACAGTCTCAGCTCCACATTTGGCCTCCAGTGTTGCCTCCTTTTCCTTCTAGCTTCTTGGGAGGCAGGTAAGGTGTCCTAAGGGGTGAAGGGATCATCATTGCACAGGGGAGAGAAGACAAAGAAGTCTTGTTTCTTAGTATTCTCACAGTAAATGAATGAAGGGGGGCGCACAGGGCTGCTGCCTACAGTCATCTAGAGTGTTCACTGCTCAATTGTGCTGGCTAGGGGCATAGAGGAGATGAAATCCAGCCTGTGCTCTGCTCCTTAAGACATGGCCCTCAGGGCTGCACTCACCCAGAGGGGGTTCCTTTAAGTTTGCATAAAGATGCAAACTGTCAGCCTGGTATGGAGCTTGACACTCACCAGGCACCTGCCCTGTGCAGGGAATTCACAGATGCTCATGACAATTTGCCTCATTCCATCTCTGCAACATCCCTGAGATAGTTAATAACATCTCATTTTATAGTCATGAGGAGTGGAGACTCAGAGAGGTTAGGGGCTTGCCCCCCATCACACAGCTAGAGGGAGGTAAGCAAGGGCTCCACCCATGTCATCTGCTGCCCTGGTGCCAGGGTAGGGGGCAAGCTCCTCTCCTGAGAGCCCTGTTTTGTGCAGACCTAGGCTCTAGTCCCCACTGGCATTTAACTTGTCTGGCCCTGCACACCACCTGTAGAATGGGGAAGGCTGTGCGGCCAACACCACTAGTGAATGCTTACTGAGCATTATGTGGCATTAAATGTGGTTCCAGGCACATCATCCGCGTTTACCAACTCTGCAGGTGTGTGCCAAAGCTTCTGTTCCTGTCTTACAGTCGGGAAAACATCCTGGGCTCAGATGAGAAAATGAATATGGAAAAGTGTGGTGAACAAAACAGACCTGAAAGATAATAGGAAAGTGCTAAATTAGTTCACTTAGTTGACAAAGAGTGTGACTGAACCCAGGGAGCAGAGATGCCAAACACGGGAGCAGTTTGGAGGGTCCTCACAAGGTACAGGCAAATAGCATGTTCAGAGAGACTCAGCATACTGGATGGAGTCACCCACGGTGGCGCATTTGCCACCCAAACCAGGGCTGGGAAAGTGAGTCTGGAATGCTCAGGGCAGCATTTGGGTCAGGACAGGCAGCCCTTTCTCCTTCCAATAGTGCCTGACTGGGGGTGATGATATTGGAGGCCAGTCCTCCCGCCCTGGGCTCAGGGGCACGTTGAGGAGGGGCAAAAAGGGGGGAAAGGGGACAGCTGGATAGTGGCAGGGATAGGGGCAGGGGCTGAGGAATCTTTGAGCTGCCTCTGCAGTGTGTCCGGTCGGTACCCTGATTTGATGCCCTTCCCCCTACGTTGAGGGTCTGGGGACGCAGGCCCCACCTCCCTCCTCCCTCCTCCCACCTCCGTCCTCCCATCTCGCCCGCCTTCCGCTCCGGTCTCCTCCCAGTTGATCTGCCTCCTACCCTCTACCCTTCGGTCTCGCTGCCTCTCCGGGAAGAGGAACCTGTAGGGGGCGGAAGAGAGCGAGTCATGAATCAGCTCCACACACTTTGGCTCCAAGAGAGATTGTCTTTGGAGCAAAGGGTAGGCGTGGGCCAGACCCCAGATTCAATTTCCCGCATAGGACGGGGCGATTCCTCTGGGGATTGATCCCGCGGGGCTGCGCGCTTGTAGCTAGGCCCCGGAGGAAGGGAGCGGCTGGGGAGCGGAGAGGAGCTGGTCGCTTGGATTGTGCATGTGTTGCTTAGCAGGATGTCTTCTTTTTCAAACAAATGGACAGCAGATGGAAGAGACCTTTGGAACTGTATATAGTTTGATGTTGTGGGATTTGTTTTCACTCTTTTGTCCAGGTTAAGCAGCCACCTACAGTGCCTTGTGCTAAAGTCAGATTTTCCTCTTTGCACCCCCTGCCTATACTTCAGTGACCAAAACAGTTCTCTTCAGACCATTATTGTGTAAGCGAAATGAGTATCTTATGGTGAAATCAAGTTGCTGCCAACAGTACATCTACCGGAAAGAAGAGATGGTCATCTCCTCCTGAAGGTTTAGTCACTGCTTTGCCTCACAGCTCAGCTCAGGATTAAGGAATCCTCATCTGGAATTCTAAGATCTGTTATCTCAGTCTAGTTGTTGACTGTGATCTTATAGTTAAATGAAACCAATTGCTAGAATTGGTGAGACAGAGGCCTTTTTTCCTTTTTCCTCCATCCCTCATCCCTCCCTTCCTCTGTTCTTTCCTTTCTCTCCTCTTTCTTTGTTTTTTTCCCCTGGAAATCCCTTTATCTTCTATTTTTTTTTTTTTTGTAGAGACATAGTCTCATTATGTTGCCAGGCTGGTCTTGAACTCCTGCCCTCAAATAATCTTCCTGCCTGGGCCTCCCTGAAGTGCTGGGATTATAGGCCTGAGCTACCGTGCCCCACCAAGAGGTCTTCCTTTAACATCTTTTTGTCTCAGGAGCTCAGTTACTTAATATAGCAGAAGTTACCCTTGGTCTTCTGGCCTGTGGAAGTCATAATTGTTTTTTTTCTGTTTTTTACTTAATATGTATAATGAAAGGTTGTTTGCTTCTTAAAAGTTTTCATCAGTCTTAAAGTATTCCTTTATTAATCTAGTCAGTAAATATTTATGAAATGCCTCCTATGGGCTGGACATTCTTCCAGGCCAGAGATATAGCAATGAACAAAACAAATAAAAATTCCTGCCATTGTAGAAACTAAACTACATTTAGTGTATATTAGAAAGTGATGAATGTGCTGTTGCTATAACACAGCAGGGGAAGTGGCCTAGGAGCATAGGGGCTGCCGTTTTGAAGAAGCTGATCAAGGCAGGAGGGCAAGGCTGCGGCTCAGGTCTCCCTCCTACCGGGAGAACAGGGAGAATGAGATTGTTTCAGACTACACTTCAGATTCACTAACATTTTAAAAAGTCTTCTATGCTCCAGAGCCTCCTATGCTCCAGACTTCCTTTAGTTCTCATATTAAGCTGGTGCAGTTGGCATCGTAGTTCTGTGCATTTGAGGACATGAGACTTCAGAGTATCCAAGCGACCTCAGCAAGGATGCAAAGCTGGTGAGGGATGAAGCCTGGGCTCCAACTCTGTTCTCTGATTCTTCAAGGCCAGTGGAATTTGCCACTATGCGCTCCTGCCTGGTCATTTATTCACTCAGTGAATACTTATTCATCCCTTATCATGCTTAATGGCATCTATGGATGTGAAAAGTCTTGACTTTGCTGATGATTATACTTAACCTCTTCGAATCTCTTTTCCCAATCTATAAAACATTAAGACCAGAACTCTCGCTTTATAGGTTTGTGGCAAAGATTAAACAAATATATGAACATCATCCTTCAGAGGGTCCACAAATGTCAGGGTCTGGCTGTGTAGTGTACTCTTTTTTTATTATAATTATTTTTATTTTTGTGAGACAGAATGTCTCTCTGTTGCTCCAACTAGGGCACAGTGGTGCCATCACAGCTCACTGCACTCTAAAATTTCTCAAGTGCTATTGCTACCTTCAACTCCCAAGTAGCTGGGGCTACAGGCATGTGCCACCACATTTGGCTAAGATTTTTTTATTTTTGTAGAGACAGGGTCTTGCTGTTGCTCAGGTTGGTTTCGAACATCTGAGCTCAAGTGGTCCTTCTGCCTTGACCTCACAAGTGCTAGGATTACAGGAATGAGCCAGCAAGCTCAGCTGTGGTCTTAACCAGTAAGAGTCTGGGCCTGTGAGCCCAGAATGTGTGCTTAAATTCTTTTTTTTTTTTTTTTTGAGACGGAGCCTCAAGCTATCCCCCTGGGTAGAGTGCCATGGCATCACAGCTCACAGCAACCTCCAACTCCTGGGCTCAAGCGAGTCTCCTGCCTCCACCTCCCAAGTAGCTGGAACTACAGGCGCCCGCCACAACGCCTGGCCATTTTTTGGTTGCAGCCATCATTGTTGTTTGGTGGGCCCGGGTGGGGGATTCGAACCCGCCACCTTAGGTGTATGTGGCTGGCGCCCTAGCCGCTTGAGCCACAGGCGCCGAGCCTGTGTGTTTAAATTCTGTCTCAACCTCTTACTTGCTGGGTATCCTTGAGAATGCTATTTAACTACTCTGAACTTTGTTTCCTCATCTATAAGTTTGGGAGAATAGTAAATAGTTCTCGACCTCAAAGGGTTCTTGTGAAAAGTGAATGAGTTAATATATGTCTCTATTTGTATGCTCTGCCTGTCTCATAGAAAGTGCTCAAGAAAGCTTGGTTGCTGCCATTACTGTGGGACTGTGTACAAGTCACTTTTCCTCCATAAAAGTCCAATTTCTCAAATATAAAACAGAGAAGGTTGACAGAGTTTAAGGAGTCCTATGGGGAGGTGAGAGATCAACCACCATAGAAGAGAATCCAAAAAGAGAATGTGAGGCAACAGGCAAGCAGAAGGTGCCTGATAAATAGGTGTTGTCAGCATCGTTGCCAAGGGCATCAGAGTGTGGAATGGGCATGGTGGAGTAAGGACCTGATAATTCAGCCCCCCTCTCTCCCCCAGCCTTGATTTCCTTCAGAGACTTGGGTTTCTCTATTACCCTCACCCGCTACTTGTCCCACCCATGTTTCTTTCAAGGACTGAATTCCGCAGCCCCAGATTGTCCTTGTCAGCAGGAGGTGGGTGGATTGTGGTTTCCTGTGACTGGGGGTGGATGCAGGTTCTGGGTGCCGCCTTGGGCCAACAGAGACTGGAAATCTCAGTTATGTAACAACACTATCTCTTTCACTCTCTGGTGATCTCTTGGCTTTCACCAAGCTTCTCTGGGCTGGTATCAGCGACATCTCCTCTGTCCCCATCCGGTTGTTTTCCATTGAATTAAGACCCGTATCTGTCCTTTGATAGGGGTGTTTTCCCTCACACCCTGTCCTTAAACACAGTCAGTTCCTCCCAGAATCCAGCTGTCTCCTTCACTCCTGTCAGGACCTCCAAGCAAGTATCTTTTCCTTTTGAGACTGCCCCCTTTATCTATCCCCAGATGGCTTTAAGTGTGTGAAGAGGGGGACCTTGCTGGGGGACCACAAGGGATGAGTCATCTGATCCAGGCCCCTCATCCAGAGCAAGCTTCATTGCTAAATGAAAGTTTCCCATCTCTCTCTTCTACCCATTCTTCATTTGTCTTCTTACATGTCTCTCACCAACACCATAGATTTCCCTGATAATCCTTATGGGAAATTCTGCAAGAGGCCTCACCTCAGTTTCTTGCATGGTTGCATTTGGGATGGAGCTAGAAAATGGAAAGATGGAGATTCTAATGTTTATTCCCTTTCCCCTCAGTTCTGCCATGGAAAGGTGATTCCGTTGCATAAATCTATAAACCTAGAAGAGTACCAGCAGAGAGAAATACCAGTCACTACCTGTTCCCCAAGCCTTATCATTCAGTAGTCATGGCAGGGAATGGAGGTTGGCAGGTACACAAACAACAGTAATATTGAATTGAAGGTAACAGGAAAGAGTTATTAATAAAGACTTTTTGAGCACTGAGATGAAGCTAGATCTTATCTGCTTGGAGGGATCAGAAAAGATGCCCTGAATCCAGAATTCCCTGAGATGGAAGTTGAATAGTAGATGTGGAAAGGGGGTGAGCTGGTAAGCTTGCTGAAGGCACATCCTGAATGACAGCACAGAGCCTGGAGGTGAGACTAGAATTAGATACCATTATACTTAGAGGAGACTGGCTAGGGAAACATATCGGAGATAAAAGAGACTCCTAGGGAAGGAGATAGGCAGGGAGTCAGGGAAAAACATGGAGAAAGTTTCTTATTTGCCTATCTCCCTCTGCAGGTGCTACTACATTTCAAGAATGGCAAGAAGCTGGTAAATCTCCAACATCTGATCATTCATTCCCCCTCACTTTCAGTCCTGTTTATGGTTCTCCCTCTGTCCACATTGTTCTGCATTCAGGACAAAGACTTCCAGACCTCCCTAAATCTACAGAAACTCAGAAGCTAAAACACCACTGCAACTCCACACATCATTCTAAGCCAATGCACAAACCTAAAGACAACTCCAAAGTTACAGACCAGAAAAGATCTACAGTTGATCATGAAGCTCCTTCCACATCTAAACAAAACTCCAGCAATCAAGGAAAAGAACCAATTATCCGGAATGAGCGCTCTGTCAATTCTGTTGACTTCACTACTACACATAAAGAATCCTCTGATAAAAAGCATCTAACCCCAGATCCTAAGAGAAAAACTTGTAGGTCCACAACAAGAGACTCAAATAAAACTACAAGACCTTTGGAAAAGACCACCATTACTTTAGGAAATAAAACTAACACCTCACATGAGACTACACTTCCTTTCCACACCTCAGACAATTCAGGAAGTAATAAAACCCCAACATCTTCCTCAGAAAAAAACACAGCAGCCACAAAAACAACATACAAGGCCATAAGAACCCCACAGAAGTCAGAAAAACCTGACGATTATAGAACTACAGTTGCCTCAGACACACTCCAGATAAAAACTACAAAATACATTAAAGACACCATGTCAGCTAGTGAGAAGACTACAAGAACTTCTGCAAAGTCTACAGAACATGGAGAAGAGACCACATTAGTCAATAAGAAGACCACACCATTCCCAGTAAAGCCCACACAACATGAGAAGAAGACCACATCATCCAATGAGAAGACTATGCCATCTCCAGGAAATCCTATGCAACATGAGGAGAAGACCACATTATCCAATGAGAAGACCACACCATCCCCAGGAAAGCCTACACAACATGGAGAGAAGACCACATCATCCAATGAGAAGACCACACCATCCCCAGGAAAGTCTACACAACATGGAGAGAAGACCTCATCAGTCAATAAGAAGACTACACTATCCACAGTAAAGACTACACAACATGAAGAGATCATATCGGCCCATGAAAAGTCTACACCACCCTCAGCAAACCCTACAGAACATGGAAAAAGGACCACATCATCCAATGAGAAGTCCATGCCATCCTCAGGAAAGCCCACACAACATGAGGAGAATACCACATCAGTCTATGAAAAGACCACACCACCCTCAGTAAACCCTATAGAACATGAAAAAAAGACCACATCACCCAATGGGAAGTCTACACCATCCCCAGTAAAGCCTACACAACATGAGGAGAAAACCACACTACACTCAGCAAAGCTTACACAACATGAGGAGAAAACCACACTACATTCAGCAAACCCTACACAACATGGAGATAAGACCACATCATTCAGTGAGAAGCCCATACTATCCCCAGGGAAGCCCACACAACATGAGGAGACCACATCAGCCAATGAGAAGACCATACCACCCTCAGGAAACCCCACAGAACATGGAGAAAAGACCACATTAGCTAATGAGAAGATCACACCATTCTCAGTAAAGCCCACACAACATGAGGAGAAAACCACATCAACCAATGAGAAGACCACACCACCTTCAGCAAACCCTATACAACATGGAGAAAAGAGCACCTCAGCCAATGAGAAGACCTCACCATTCCCAGTGAAGCCCACACTACATGTAGATAGGACCATATCAGCCAATAAGCAGACCATAGCACACTCACCAAAGCCTACACAACATGGAGAAAAGACCACATCAGCCAATGAGAAGATCATACAATCTCCAGTAACGCCTACACAACATGAGGAGAAGACCATATCAGCCAATGAAAAGACCACGCTACCCTCTCCAAATCCTACAGAGCATGGAGAAAAGACCACCTCAGTCAATGAGAAGACCACACCATCATCAGTAAAACCCACACAACATGGAGATGAGACCACATCAGCCAACGAGCAGACCACAGCACCCTCACCAAAGCCTACACGAGAGAAGACCACATCAGCCAACGAGAAGACCACATTAGCTAATAAGACCACATCACCCCCAGAAAATCCTACAGAACACAGAGATAAGACCATATCAGCTAATGAGAAGACCACACCCTCTGCAGTAAAGCCTACACCACATAAAGAGATCACATCAGCAAATGAGAAGACCACATCATTTTCAGCAAACCCTACACAACATGGAGATAAGACCACACTAGCCAATGAGAAGACCACACCATCCCCAGAAACACCCATGGAACACCCAGAAAAGTCAACATCAGCCAAGGGGATAACCATTAAAGCCTCAGCAAAGCCTACAGAACAGGAAGAAAAGACCACTATATCAGCCCATGAGAAGATGACACAAGTCCCAGAAAAGTCCACAGAACAATCAGGAAATATCCAATTAACCACAGAGAAAGCCACAAAAGCCCCAGAAAAGCCTACAGTACACCTAAAGAAGACTACATTAAGCCTATGGAAAACCACACCAGTCCTAACAAAGCCTACAGAAAACCTAGAAAAGACCACACTGGCTAGTGAGACCATACAAATCTCAGTAAAGTCTACAGACAACCAAGAAAAAACAGCAGCAGTCACAAAGACAATAAGACCTCCAGTCAAGGTTACAGGAGACAAATCCATCACTACTGCCTCCCCTTCTCTAAATAAGACTAAGGTTACCCATTTGGTGCCCATTGGTTCTTTTACAATCACTGCATCTAGAAAGGAGCTGAGTTCTATGATGTCAGAAGCCATAGGAAACAAGAATCATCAAAACCAGAATAAAGCTGGCTCACAAGCAGGTCTTCATCCTGGACAAATGGGGGAGAATGATTCATTTCCTGCATGGGCAATAGTTATTGTGATTCTGGTGGCTGTGATTCTCCTCCTGGTGTTCCTTGGCCTGATCTTCTTGGTAAGGAACAGGGGTGCCCCAAGGAAATATCTCCTCAACTCTTGTGGGATAGAGAATTGAAAAGACATGAGAGGAGGTGCAGGAAGACATGAGAGACATGACAGGAGGTCGGGGGAGAATGTCTCTCAATTTCAAGAGAATTGAGAGACATGACAGGAGGTGGGGGGAAGTGATAACAGAGGGGAAGTAGTGGTGAAAATCATGGAAAAGACAACAAATACATACGATGTAAAAAGTTGGAACTGAGGAGAAAGTTGTAGTTAAGAAAGGTTGTGAAAGAGAAAATTAAGGCAGTGGAGATAATGTCTGGGGTGTGAGAATAGAGGGTATAACCTGGAGGGTGAATTAGAGAATGAGTTTGGGAACTAGTATATTGGATCTGGGGCTGGAGGACCAAGGTTTGGATGGACTCCTGAGAAAGGAGCAATCCAAAGGTCCAGCATCAGGGAGAAGAGGATGAAAGGCCTGAGATGTGAGTGGCACAGCAGATGCTTCTCATTTCTCCTTTCTTATCATTTCTCCTTTCTTATCCCAATCACAGGTTTCTTACATGATGCGAACACGCCGTGCACTGACCCAGAACACCCAGGACAATGACCCAGAGGATGAGGGGGGCCCCAATTCCTACCCAGTCTACCTGATGGAGCAACAGACTCTTGGCATGGGCCAGATCCCTTCCCCACGATGATCATGGAGAAGGTGCCCAGCCCCAGCTCTTCCATGCTCTGGCTCTTTTTTATATGAGGAAACGGCATCCCAAGTTCTTTTTCCTGGACTCTGTGAAGGGCACAGAATACTGATAGCAGCATTAACCTTCCCTCTGTTCTTAATTGGAACTGGTTGAGGAATGAGGTGATAAGGAGGACCCAAGTTTAGGGGCTAGATGAGAATGTAGTAGGAATAATACAAGCAAGTGATGTCCAAGGAGAAGGCGTTTGATGGACATATGGGGTGGGGGCTCATGCAGGACATTGAGTCCTGGGAGGGGCAGGGCTAAGGGAAGGAAAAGAACCTTCCAAGGCAGGGTCCCAGACTGACTTGTGAGTGGGAGTTATGGGCACTAGGGAGACTGAGGACAGAGCCTCTGGGTTTCAGGACCAATCTGTATTATTTCCGTTCACTATTACCTAAGAGTTTATATACAAATAGGCTTGTGTCTGAGCTCCCAGGACCCTTGCCCTTCTTATTTTGTATGCTTGTTTAATGAAAAAATAGGCTCTAGGAAGAAAATTGAATTTATTTCCTTCTCTACCTTTTACATTCCCTGTAGAAAGGAACATTCTAGAAGCAATTATAGATAGCTCTCATCTACGTGGTGCCTCCCTCTTCTTCCTGAATCCCTTAGCTTTTCTAAACATCTTACCATGGGCATCCTGCTGGTTTGGCTGGCTGGGCTGTGGACAGGCACACAGGGAGGGGAGTTTTGTTTAACCTGCAGTCTCACCCACTGATCCCAGCCCTTCCCTGATGATATGCCCACTCAGCATTTATTTTCCTGTCTCTTTTATTAAAAGCCAGGTTGGCTTCATCTGTTAGAAGTCACTTGTCTTGTCTCCTGCCCACATCCTCTCTCCTCACAACTTCAACCCAGATTCCGGTTTACTTCCTGGTGGACCTTTCATCTGTGTGTGCTTTCTGATTTTCTCTTCTATGTCTCATGGACAGAGCGGAAAAGGAGAGTGGACAGATGCCAGATATTTTTCTTCTCTCTATTGGTCTTTTTATAATAAAGTGTAACATATTTATAAAGTAAGGACATCATAGTTATTGAACTTTCTGTTGGGAAAAAGTCCTGACAAGTGTTTCTGGCTCTGGCCATTACCTTATAGAAGATCCTGAGCAGGAGGGGCTGCAGCACAGGACTGCAGGTCTTTGGAGGCTCCAGGAATGTCTGGGTTTAGATAAGAGCTAGCCTCAATTCATGCTGGATTTATTTGCGTAGTGAGAAAATGAGGAGAAAATCTGTCCATTAATAAACAAATATTTTAAAGCACCCATTATATAGGCTTCTGGCAATATGAAGAAATGTAAGCCATAGTTCTCACTTGAAACACAAATACAGGAAAATTAAAATTAGGTAATTTGACAAAAGTTGTTACATGGTAGTATGATACAGAATAAAACAACAGTTTATTAACATCTGCCATGCTCCATATTTAGGTTAGGACACAAGCCCTGCCCCCAAACCATTCCATGCCCAAGTGTCAGTTCCAACAGAACCCTCTCACCATCCACACAGCCTTGGCTCTCACTCGACAGCCTGGTGGACTGGAAAGGCACCCCAGTGGGCTACTGACCTTCTAACCTTAACTCCATTCAGAATCACACAGAAGGGCCACAGGTCACTATATGCTGCTTTGGGCATCCCCATTTGCTGAAAGAATATCATGGTCACTAACCCCAACCCTGACACTATGTCACCGAACTGCCTGGTTCTGGCTGGGCGGGGAGGTCCTTCAGGCCTGAGGGTCTCTCTGAACCTTCCATTGGAGACCTCTGCTAAGGAAAGGCTTGAGTCCCAGAAAGGAGGCATGCCAGGTGTCCAAGGGACCCCACAATTAGGTCTCTAGAGAAGGACTAAGGCAGAGAGGGACACCTGGGTTCTGAAAGAGGGCCGGGAATCTTCAAGAAAAGGAGGAAGATGCCTGATTTTTAGTTTTCTAGGTAGATGGTGAGGCAGCACGTGGCAGCTGCCAGGATAGGATTGTCTCCCTGTCCTGGGCACAATGCCCCTACCTCTAACTTTACCCTAATTTGGGCCCCCAGCTTGGACCCTAATTAAAAAACAAAATGAAATAAAAACACCTCTGCCCCTAGAGTCTTAAACATTCAACCTGACTGACACCTCCCCTGCCAAGATGCCAAAGCACTGCGCGAACAGGTGGGGGGTAGGTGCGGGGAGGCTCTGCGTCTGCGTGCTGGGGGTTGTTGTCTCCTTCACATTTCTCTCCCCTCTCTCCTGGTATTTATCGCTTTGAAATCCAGGGGTAAACCCTTTAACAAGCTCTGGGGCTGGGCTCCAGGAGCGGAGCTCCTCCCCTGCCGAGATGCCAAAGCACTGCGCGAACAGGTGGTGGGTGGGTGCGGGGAGGCTCTGCGTCTGCGTCCTGGCCCTCGGGCCCTGGGGGCGTTGTCTCCTTCACATTTCTCTCCCCTCTCTCCCGGTATTTATCGCTTTGAAATCCAGGGGTAAACCCTTTAACAAGCTCTGGGGCTGGGCTCCCCTTAGGGATAACTAATGAGCAGGACGGAGGGAATCCGTTCCCTCCTCTGGTGCATGTCGCCCTCGCCCCCGGGGAAGTTTATTTTCTTCAAGCCACTGAGGACCCGGGTACTCGTGGGGCAGGGCGGCCCGGCTTCGGGGTGGAGGCGCCGGAGGCCGCTGTCCCTGGTGGAGACGGGACAAGAGCAGAGAGTGATCAGGTGCTTCTACGGGTCCGCGACTCTCTGTCCTTCCCCAGAGGCTCGCCTTTGCTGGCCGCTCGCATCTCTCTGACCGCAGATTAGCTGCTCATAGCCTTTGGCACCGCGAGTCAGCCGGGATCGGTTCCGCTTCCAGACTCGCACGGCGCCTGCGCGGTCGGTAGTAAAACACCTTCCTTAGTGCTGCGCTTTTTCCTACCTCTCGTCGTCAATCTTCTGATCATTCTGCGAGTTCTTTTCTTGTTAGGTCTATTCTACAGAAAACTGGAGCGCAGAGAAGTGTCTTGTTCAGACCCTCGGGGCTCCCGTGGAACCGAGTTTATTTTCTTCAAGCCGCAATTTCACTTTACGCCTTAGCGGAGCCTGGTTCCATGTCACTGAGGCAGCCTGACCACCTAAGGAACAGAGTGTAATTAAAGTTTGTGTGAGAGGGTGTCCAGCCCTTTCTTCCAGGGTCCGGGTCTCCTCTTTCAGCCTCTGGAACTTCCAGAGCCTTCTGGTCTCACAGTGTCCTCACCAGGGTCTTTCCTGCCAGCCGCTGCTGCCTGCTGAGATCCATTAATTGGCCTCAGAGTCACATGTTCCCCATCCTACCCTCACAGTGCCTGGGCCCCTCTTGGAGCTGCCCTACAAGAGGTTTGGCACAGAAGACGATCACATGACTTGCGACCCAGTCGTCTTCATTTTTGTCCCCTCCGCCTCCTACCAAGGCCTCTGTCTCAGAAAAAAGACATCCCCAGAGAAAACGGGTTTCTGCTGGCCTCTGCCCCTGAGGATGGGTCCCCTCTCCTTTAACAGATTTGATCCCCCGGTTCTCTCCCCCTCCCTGCTCCTCTCCCCAGGTTGTCAGGGAACATGGCTTCAGAGATGCCCCTCCCTGGAAAGGGAGGACCCAGAAGTTATGGCTGCCCCTTGCCTAGTAGCAGCTATAAATGCTACAGCTATGGTCAATGAGAAAAGAAATTAAGCCAGACATTGTGGGAGCAATCCATGGAACACAGGAGTCCAGTGTTCTCAGTCCTTGGCTTTCTACTGCCTCAGAACCCACCCCAGTTGATCTTACTCCTCCCACAACCCTGGTCCTGGCAAGTTTTAAATTCTTCCTGCAACTTCATGCCCCATTGAGAGCCACTCCTCTCAGCACCCTGATTCTGCTCCCAGGCATTCTGGATAACAACCTCTCCTGTGGATTATTTCAAGATGAGGAGAGGGAAATTATCACCTGCCTCCTGCATCCAGGTGCTGCTTCTCTTTGGAATCCTGAGACCTGGTAAGTGAACTAATTACCAGCAATCAGAGAGGATGTGAAGGCCACAAAAGTCTGAAGGAGACAAGGATCCCTGTCCCAGGCACGCTGCCTGTATATATATTCTCATTCTTTTGCTGGAAGCAAAGATGATGAACTTATTTTTTACCGCTTTCTGTGAATGTCAGTGCCCCCACTGACCCTGATTCTGACCCCCACCTTTCTCCTCTAAATCCACTTTTATCCTCCCCCGTCCACTCTCAGCTATAAGCATGGACACAAATAGCAGCTGCATTTTATTTCCCTTAGAACCCCAGGGTGTAGTGGGTACTTGATCAATGCTTTGTATCTAACTGGAAAATCCAGCATCATCTTTAACACATTGACTGCCACATTAGAAAAACATCCCCCGCTCGGTGTCTGTGGGTCAAGTGGCTAAGGTGCCAGCCACATACACCTAAGGTGACAGGTTCAAATCCAGCCTGGGCCCACCAAAACAACAATGATGGCTGCAACCAAAAAATAGCCAGGCATTGTGGTGGGCGCCTGTGGTCCCAGCTACTTGGGAGGTGGAGGCAAGAGACTCGCTT